TGTTATGCAGCCTTCTCACCGCCTCCTGCAGCTCAGCCACCTGCTGCAGGAGGTCCTCCACCTGGGCACATCTTTTGCAGGCAGGGCTGCTGCCTGTCCCTGCCCCCGGAGAAAGGTCGAGGCACCTAGACCTGGAGGCATTGGCCACCGCTGGGGTAGCTGGTGCAGACCCCCCAGCTGGAGCCATGGCCTTTACCCTCAGACGAGCACAGACCTGGAGGCATTGGCCACCGCTGGGGTAGCTGGTGCAGACCCCCCAGCTGGAGCCATGGCCTTTACCCTCAGACGAGCACCCACCATTCTGCCTTGAGGGTCAGGTAGAATGAGTGCCCTTGACCTGTGCCCAGTTGCTGGGTTATGTGTATGCCGAGTCCCCCATGCGGCCCATGGAATGCCTCTTCTTCGAAGAGGCGCCCTCCCTGTGTGCCCTCCCTTGCGAATGGCGGCGCAAACTGCCGCGCCACGCCCTAGCTGACGCACCACACCCTGTTTGCCTGTTCTGGTAAGTTTGCCATACTTACTTATGTAAGTAAAGATTATAGTAAAAAGTGCAATAAAGGCATAGGCATTTTAAAATTGTATGGGCTGTATTCTTGCACTTCTTGATTATTGATCATTGATTATAGTGATTCTATAAAGTGTTCCAGGTGCAGGAGGCCGTGCCAGATTCAAGTGGTTTGGTACAAACATAGAAGTCCCATTCACAATGGACAGCTTGACAATCTTGGCAAGATTTAAAAGTAAAGGTTCAGATGTTAATGTAAATTTTTTGGGTTTTTTTCCCCCAAAAGGAAAAGAATTAAAAATCCCAACTATATGGAGACTATACTTCAGACATGGACTCGGTTCTTGGCTCCTGGGTGGACAGAGGGACATTAGACCTTTCAGTCTGTAGATTTCCAAAGCTAAACAGAAAATATATCACCTCACTGGTAAAAGCTTTAAATGCACAGATTGTCATAATCTTTGAACCAGGAAAATAGGTCTGTTCTGAAAATGATATTTATGATTTTCACTTATGCTAACTAGTTACAATAATAGGCTGTTTCACAGCTCCCCAAATCAGCAAAATTTAGATCCAGATGAGGAATGTTGCAATCGCAGGCTATTCGCAGTGTGGTGAGCAGCCAAAGGGTTATCCTCGTCAGTCTACTGAAGCTGGGCCACGATGCAAAATGGGCCCAGAAGGAAAGGATGAATAGAAACACTTGATTCTGCAATCTATTTATTTGGGAGTTATGTGGGTAGGGAATTCACTGGTCAGGACGCACAAATAATCTGGGGATCTGGGAGTGCAACCAACATCTTTCCCTTCCTAGCTGAGTTTCAGTATGAAGGGGACTCCTGCTGTATTTGGCTTCTGCAGAGATGTAGGCAGAGTAGCAGCATCTTTACATATAATTTCTGAATCGTAATTAGCTAGGAATAGGCACTGAAATGCTTCTGAACCTATCTGAGTTTTAGTGTTCAAAACATAGGTGTTGATTGAATTTAAGTGCTTATATTTTTAAAGTATTGTTCGAGAACAGATTTCTGAGTTGTATTGAATTTAACCAAGCTTGGGGAGGCTGTTTCCATAAAGATACGCAAGTTCTAAAATGTCAAGCTGCATGAGCAGGGTATAGCCTTACAAATACATGGTAATACTGTGAGCATCATTTTTCACTTTCCATAATGAAAAGTTGGCTGAATTCATATCTCTGAATGCTTAAAAATAACAGCTCTAAACTGAAACCAAGACTGGGAAATTTCAGCCCACCTGATGAAAATCAGTATTTTTCAGCCTTGTTTAATTCTGCTGCTTTCCTGAAACCACTGGAAACTCTGCTGAAGATAGTAAGCACAGGATATCACCTGCAAGATTCAGAGACCTGTGTGTTATAATGAAAATTCTGATGTAATCTATATATTGTGGCTGCTCTCAAGTGTCTGCAGTAAGAGCACTTACAACTAAATAGTTGCAGATTTGACCCTAAGTCTTTTCTAAGTTCTCTACTAGTATATAGTGTAGCTCCTCTGGAGAGCAAAGGCAGATCCAATTTAAAATCTTGTCTGTGGAATGATCTTGTCTTAAAAAAACAATATAAAGAGATTTAGAGAGTATTTAGCCTTGTGCTTACTCATTTATGATGCCTGTTGCTGCTTGCTACATTAGATATTTATATAATGAGGAAAGTGGTTTTAAGTAAACCAAAACACAAATTTGACTGGACTATAATGCCCCTTCAGGTTTCAAAAGGAAATTTTGGTGTTACTTATACATATGCATACACATTATATACATGGTTATTTGCCATTTGGCTCTTTCCAGCTTTTAAAAATATCCTTAAAAAGCAGCAAAAGTTGCAGAATTGGAAAATTATCACAGCCAAACATAAATAATGAAATGATATAATCTTGTTTAAAAAAAAAAAAATCAGTTACTTATGTATTCCCTTTGATTTCTTGTTCGTAGTTGTAGGATATAGATCTCTCCTAGGTTTTTCCCTACCTATCACTTATTTATATGAACATAGTTCATGGTAAACCTAAAAAGTGCAAAATATGGAGATTTGATATTATTGCCCATGTTTTGTTACAGTCTTTCATATTTAATATATTTAATCTACTAATATCAAACACAGTCTATAGAAATAAAGCAGAGCCGATATCACAATGACAATAGGGAAACAAGGCATGATAAAGGAAGTTAAAAGGTCATTACTTTGGGAATTAATGTTATTAAACCTACAGTGGTTTACACAGTAGAAAAATCAATTTTTGGTTGTTTTCAGGTCTTTGAAGATATTTCTATCCAAAAACCTCTGTATATTATACTGCTGATGAAAAACTGAGTATTTTATTTTGGTAGAACCTTCAAATCCAAAACTCCAGGGAAAGAAGAGCTTTCTAATTTTTAAGTAGAATGGGAAGAAGCTATGCTGCTGACCTGATTCCTCAATAGATAACATAAGGGAGCAGAGATAATTAATAGAAATAACAACAGTACTTTTAAACATTATCTTGCAAAAGCAACAGCCCCAAAAGGGAGGAACAGATTTTGATGTTTCTATGATGAAAGGAAGAATGACTGTTTAAAAAAATACTCATGCAAAATCATACATTCAGAAAGAAATTTCTAAACATTTATAGAAATTTGGCTGAGGAGAAATTACAGTCTTATGTTTGCAAAATCTAGGACAGGAGCTATAACTCTTTTCTGGCATTAAGCAAAGAATTTAACTGCCAGCTCAGTTTTTCCATCTGATGCATTTTGTTGGATAATGCATAGTGCTTATGCTGGTAGTGTTTATCATCAAAACACTAATGCAAGGTCCAAGTATAGCACTGCCAGTCTCAGGCATTCTGAAGCAAGACATACCTCCCGAATATCATAGGATTGGCTTAAAATAAAACATGAGATTTTAAAATTGTTTGGGGTTATTCTTACTTTAGTTTTTAAAATGGAATTTCACAAGAGAGATTAGTAACAATGTTAAGATAGGACTGCATGTTGAATTGAATTTTTGGAATCTTACGTAAAGGCTAAGCATTTTGGCCTCGTTTACTTCAGAAGTTGCGGATTTTGGATTTAAATCCAGGGAAAAGGTTTTTCAGAATCAGTATCAGGTTCAGGCTAATCTGTAGACATGACATACATTTTTCGAAGTCTTAAGAGTATGTACGCTGTGGGGGCATATATAATTGAAATGATAAATGTAATATGGAGTATGTCACAATTTTTGTAGAAACTTTGAATGGATTTTATCTGTTGATATTTTATTTAGTAGCTGTGATTTTATACATTTTAAGCAACAGAATTTATTTCATCTATACATAAGAAATTAATTAAACTGAAGAGGGAAACAATCCCAGTTAGATGATGATGGGTTTAAAAAGGAAGGCCAAAACATACAGTTATGAACAAATATTGGGAAACTCCCTATATGTTCATGTAATTCTGTCACCACAATGTATTCCAAAACTCTCAATCCTTTAAGCAAGGATAAGAGCACCTTTGGTAATGTGACCCTTAAATCATGCAGCCTTGTATATATGTTGATTTGCTGCCTACTGAAGAAGCAATAGTCTGCTTGTTGTGTTTGTTGATGATTCTGACATTATTGACATTTTCTCTGTTGCTTTATCAATCCCTGCCTACTGTGTAAAACTCTTGGAGAGGACTTCTGCTCTCTAAAACTCTTCAGCAGTCTTCCTGTTGACCTTGGAGTTTGTATTCAGTGTGAAATACTCCTTTTCAGTATCCATTTATACTTGGGCTCCAGTGAGATTGCTCACCTTGTCAAATGCTTATCACCTGTTAATATGAAAACTTCTGTATTTTAGAGAGAGGACATTGATCACTTGAGTTCTGTGTTAATAATAACTATTCTCAAATCATCATGAATAAAGGATGTCCCTTTTTTTTTTTTCCCCCATTGCTGGCAAGAGAAGTACGCTTAGTCACTGCAGTTAATTTTGGCTGTGGTTCCAGAGCCTTATAATGAATAAATTCAGTCTCTATTTTTGGTTGTCTCTGGATATTTGAAAAAATTTGGAACAGTTTTTAAAGTAAGGTTTAGATGCCATCTTAAATGACATTGGTTGCCTTTTCACATAATTTTGATGGAATTCTTTGGTTTTGTACTTTGTTTCACCAGTACAGCTAAATCTGTCATTCACTCCCAAATAATGTGACCAGCTTGCTTTGCAACACAGAGCATTAGTGTAGACTGCTTACTGTTATATGTTTTAATGCTATCTGGGAAAAAAAGGTTTCCTCTCTGTTTTCAGAGGCATTAAAATGTTTTACAATTTCAGTCCTTGTACATTGTCTTCAATAACTCTGTTGTAAAATTATGGAGGCAATAAAGCCTTTCTATCTTTAATTGAAATCCTTCAATACCATTCTTCAGGGCAGTCTGCGATTTGCAGTTATTTGCACATATTCAGTAGAAAACGTATGTTCTTGTAGTTTCTACAGCCTCTGTCCTTCAACATTGTGAATCTACAGCCCACAAATGTTTTCCATGTTGTGTGGTCCTTGTTTATGCCCTTTTTATTTGCTGCATAGAGCTCATGTTGCATCCTTTTTATCTTTAGACACTATGGAAATAATTTTTGTGCCTGTTCAAATCATGAGGGTCAAATCAGTCTTACACTCAGTTCCTCTCCTTGTTAACTCTAGTGTCTAGGTTCTAGCTCTGTGCAAATTAAACCAGCATTACTACTGAAGGCTACAGCCCTGCGTTAACTTCTGTTCTGGCTGTGCAATCCCACCTTCTTGCCTCTCCCTTCCTGGTGGTAGGTTACAATGTTCAGGTAGTAAATTGGATCAGGGAGCAGATTCAGCTCGTTAGTTATAATCTGTCATGCGGCTGTGTTTTACTGCTACAGATATTTGTGTCAGCTTGAAGGGAGATTAGGGGCAGAGGGATGGAAATGAGTACTTGGGATTGGGAGGTGCTGCCTCTTTCCATCAGCACTGCAGTTTGAAATCGTCAATGGATTTGTAAGGCTGGC